CTCTTGTTTCCTACTCATGTGATCCCCATAAATCTTCTCTAATTTTTATTTTCCAAACTTTTCTCCGTTTTTCTTCTCCTGCCACCAATCAAATGGAAGTCAACCGCCTGCTGCAAAAACGTGTGACAAGCAATAAATAAACGCTGAGGTCCATCTTCTTTTTTTCCGCTCCTCCTTCTCCCCGCTACTTTTCCAACATTTCTCACCTCCTGCCATCATTATCTTATTGTCTAATTTGTTGGCAGCTTACTTCTCTTGCTCATTGCTCTCTTCGTGAGACGCCATGTGTCACACACCTCCTACTACGTTTTTGCGTAATCTATCTATCGACGATATTATTGAGTTCGATTCGAATCTCCTTCTCATTGGTCCTATCAAATTCTTTCTCTATCATCACAATGGTCAGCTGCTTTTCTTTCTTCTCCACTTTTCTATATTTCTCTCTCCTTCATTCTGTCAGATACCCTCTAGTCCTCATCTCGTTTCTTTTGACCCAAACGATTTGATTCTATTCAAAGATTATATCCTTTTTTCCATCCTCTTCCGGTGCCAAACTCGTGCAAAAAATGCATCTTTCTACCCAAACTCAAACGTTTTCCTAGATAACAACACATATGCTTTCTCTCTTTTCCTTGGATCAGTATGTTTGTTGAATTTAACACTGCCTGTTATGTAGTGTTTTGTAGTTGCATCCCTCATCTCAATGTTTGCATTTGGGTGAGCCTGCCCGAATGGTTTGTTGAAAAATCCGCTTAGAAACTGTGTTATGTTATTGCGTTCTCTCGTTTTCCACTTTCTTAACCCTTCATTTGCAAGTGCTCCTCAATTTATTCTCGACATCTGTCCAATTTTACAATTTGGAACTCGGCCCATGCGACCTACAAGTTTTTTTTCTCGCTCCCCCAGTTAAGTACATTTCTCTGTTAGGACTCCTAACTCAATTTGTGCTCATTTTCAGAACAAAAGGTATGTAATTGGTTTCCGCTCACTTACCCTATGCTTTTTCTAAAAAGAAAGGGTCGAAAAAAAACCGAACAAGAAATGTGAGAGCCTTCCGAATTATTCATAGGGGCCTTCGCTTTTCAAGAAATAGAAAGCAAGTGCGTACTCACTTTCTCACCACTAAACATTTGTAACTTTTCACATTAGCAACTGACTTTCTTTTCGGGTTGTAAGTTTTTTTTTTAGAATTCCCTTGGAACTTATATATATATAGAACATATGTTACAAATAGCACTCATGGAAATCTAAAAAACGAGGCGTCGAAAGATGCTTTCGGTGGACCAAAAATATTCTGGAGATGTCTGAAAATTTTCGAAAATTTTTGAACAAAAAATTCGAATGAAGTAAAAAAATTCATGTTGGCGCCATCTCAAATTTTCGACTGTTTTGGAATTTTTTGGAATGTCATGAGTTTCAACTTTTCAGAATATTCCAATTTTCAAATTTTTGAATTTCGGAATATTATAAATTTCAATTTTTCGGAATTCATAGAATTCGAAATATTCCAACATTCAACATTTCGGAGTTTCGGAATATTCCGATTTTCAAGTCCGTGAAATTTTGAAATATCATAATTTTTGGAATCCGAAATTCCGGAATATTTCTAGATTCGAAAGAAAGAAGATTTCGGAAGATTAAGAATTTCCAAATTTTCGGAATTTAGGAATTACGGAATATTCCGATTATTGAAGTTTCAGAATTCCGGAATATTCCGATTGTCGAAATTTCAGAATTGCGGAATATTAAGATTTTCAAATTTTCGGAGTTTAGGAATTTCGGAACATTTCAATTTTTATAATTTCAAAATTTCAGAATCTTTGGATTCTCAAAATTCGTTATTTCGTAACATTATAATTTTCAATATTTGGGAATATCAGAATTTTTGGAAAATCCCGAATATAGAAAGACATACTGTAGTCCGAAAGGCTCTGATTCCGAAAAAAAACTTCGGAAAATTCCTAGAGTTTCATTCCGAGAATGGTCGAAATATTCGGAAACTCGAGTTCCGTTCCGGACCTTCTCTATAATTTTTGTTTCTCAATTTTGCCCGAATCTTCGCTGATCTCTTAATATTTAAAAATAATTTTCATTGACTTTCTCACAAGGCTGTCGGAAACAGGGCGGCGGCCGGCCGTGATTGAGGCTGTCGGTATGTTACCGTGAACCAATCAGTCCGTTCTTTCAAAAATAAGCTCAGCCAGCTGAAAACTATCAGGGCCGATAGGCCGCCGTATCCTACCTATTTCTGAAGTACCTAAACTGAAAATACCTCGGCCCTAATTCGACAGCCTTTCTTTCCCAATGATCCAAAAAAGGTTCCAAGTTGGTCCTAAGAATTGTGACTTCTTCGTACTTCCGCTCGCTCCTGCCTAACCAACTAAATTAGTAGAAAACTCAAGCTAATCTATTTTCGTTCCACTTCTTCCCCCCATCCCGTCCCATCCATTTTCTATTTTCTGCTCAACGCTCCTTGTATGTGTTTGTACTTGGTGTGAGTCAATGGTATTACGTTCTGCCACTCGGCTGGTCACTTTTCGGGTTTCACCGACTTCTTTTCGATCCCACATGCATTTTCCCAGTCATATGTCAACTTTGGTGTCAACCCCAAAGCGGTCATCTTTAACTAAATGTTTACCAATTGCTACTGCCCTCGGTTTCTCGATTCCCACTAGGAGCGAAAAACAAAATGCCACCTTGAGATTATGGACCACAAAAGAGTCGTGGTAGGAGAGGAGCCCTCTCAAAATGCCATAAAATATGATGAATTGGCGTGCAATTCAGAAGGAAAAAAGCGTATCTTTTTTCTCTCTCATCCCTTAGTCTGCCCTTTTTCAAATGATCCTTTTCATTACTTTTAGACAATAATCGCTCAATTGTGGTGCGAGCAATCGTCCAACAAAAAGAGCTGAACCATCTGTGAACTTTCATTTTTTTCAATATGCACTTTCTATTTTTCTCGAAAATTTCTTGTCCCAAAAAACTGCACCACCTGTTTTGGAATGCAGCTGGCATTGGTTGAATGCAGGTGCCCGTCCTTTCTTGTCATAAAAAATCCTATTCTCTTTTTTTTCCACTCCCCGGACTACGGTGCTCACTCAACCAGATACCAAACGGGAAGAAACGAATGCTGTCGAGAGTGGAAGAGAAGAATGGCGGGAAGAATAAAAAGAATGTTCGTATATGTGACGTTTTTTGTGTTACACAAATCCATGTACCTTTTATCATATAGTAGTAGTACATACACACATTTCGGAGCGCTTTTTTCTGAGATTCCAACCAGATGTCCAGTTGGTTGGCCCAATTTTTCGTATAATATTCTAAGGGTGTGTATATATATTTGAACATGTAAAGTTTAGTGGAGTCGGCCAACAGAAGTGTGAAATTGCGCTCTAAAATTTTGTAAAAAAAATGTTTTTTAACAACACCTTTCATTATCAATTTTAATTTTACGAGGGAACCTCATCACCTTGAAAACTCGGAATTTTTTGAAAACTTTAGAATAGGTTTAGAAAAGCCTATCTAGACACCTCTAAAAAAGTTAAAATCCGCTGGCCAATATCAGCCGAGTTATATAAGTTTCAGTGCCAAAAACAGTTTTTCAGTGCAAAACAGCGATTTTCAAACATTTCTCAACTTCTAGGGCGTTTCAGAACATTGAATTTGTTTTGTTATACTTAGAATTAAATGGAATTTCATGTTTCAGACATTATCACGAATTAGTTTTTCAATTTTCGATAAATCTGGAAAATTGTGAAAATTTGAAAATAAAAAACTCCTTTGAGAAAATTTCTGCATTATGCAGTGGTGTCTAGATAGGCTATTCTGAACCTATTTAAAACTGTCATGAAAATCTGGGTTTACAAGGTGTTGAGGCTTCCTTGTTAACCCTTTATATCAACACTAGAAAGTTAAATGTTTTAAATCCTAATCATATTAATTTTACAAAATTTAGATAGAAGTTTCCAGAGGAACTGTGTGCTGTTATTTACCATTCAAGACTTTTGAAATTCTGTGACTTACCCAGGCCAGGCAGAACATTTTAAGCTCATCATGTTTCCTATTATATCCCATCTTCTCATTTCGCAACAAAAACAACAGCTTTGTCTCTATACTCTGTCTCCTCAATGGTCCTTTTCTCCAAGCCGCTCATTTGTCAATTTCACCAAATTACGGACAGAGACAAAACGAAACCAGCAAAAAAAAGTTTTTGCCCTTCTTCTCCCCACCCTGGTCGTGATTCCCATGAGACCATCCCCGTGTATTTGCATAGGATATCCCATCTCTGGCGTCTTTTCTCTTTTTTTCTTTCCCGATTTCCGGCCAATTGAAGGACCTTCCTTTCCCCCGATATTATTCACACTTTGTCATATGTAGTCTTTATTGCAAACCCTGAGGCTAAATAAGGTCGTACTTTTGGATGTAATTACCTAAAGAAAAAGCATATGTTACACTTTCAAAGAAAAAACAAGGCGGTCCCGAAAATCTCGGGGCGTGGTCAACTCGACCCTTTACCCAAATCGCATCCCCCACCCTCTTTTTCCACACTTTCACTCTATCTCTCTCATTCCGATCCTATCCCTCTCGCCCTATATTTTGGCCTGTGGTAATGAATCTCGGGCCCGTTTCCTCGTTTCCTTTTCTCATTTTGGTACACCACCCCCACCACCACAACCCCTTCATTTCTACTTCTCCCCTTTTTCGCGCAAAGTGCTCGCGTCAATTACTGTCAGTTTTACTTTTTGTCAAAATTTCACACTTGTCCATGATGTTATCCACTTCCCATCATTTTTCCAGGGGCATGAGAGGAAGACTTGACTAGTTGTCAGAGAAGTTAACACCACCTACTGCTAGGAAACAACCAGCACTCCTCTTTTGTCAATCTAGGCGACAAGTAAAAAGGTAATAAGCGTCGAATGTCTTTTGTGAATCATTTCAGACGTATTGAACTTCTTCAATACCTCATTTTGCGTTTCAGACGAACACACGATGTCCTGTCGTTACGAACCACGCTGAATAACCTCTCCTCGATATGGTACGCGATATTAACGACACTTCTCCAGGTCTACCTACTTTATCTGGGATTTGAAAGGTAAGAAAATACTTTAACCCATTTTGAGCATTGCCCCCAAAAATTAATAAATTTTGAAAATTTTGAAATTTCCAGATACCGACTATACAACGAAATCAAATGGCCGACTGGAGGATACCCCTATGGCTATCTCATGACTTACGTTTCAATTTACATAGTTTCGATTGGCGGAACATTTTTATTATTCACCAGTGCTTTTTTCAAATCTGGAAATATTGCTGGTGACAACGAACGACTTGCTGATCGTGAAAGCCGAGTTCTAGAAGTTGATCGTAGTAGAAATGGAGATAAATCGGGTTAGTGCTTTAGTACTAGCGGGAGAAGGGAGATTGGGATGGTTAGATTAGAAATCGGTAATTATTGAGTCCCAAGAGATCTCATTGAACATGCCATATTTCATCTGCTTCCCCTTTTTCCTCCTCCCGATGCATTATGTAAATTGTCTACTTATCCCTTTTTAAATCGCATATACGCAATTTCAGGATGTGTCCATGGTATGAAGGTTTTGTGGCAGCATCTTCCACCGTTACCGCAGCAGATCCATGTTATCATTGCTATCGGACAGTTGATTGCTCAACAACTCATGTTCTCTCAACTCTTCCGTCATGGATTTGTCAACTCTGGTTAGTAGCGGATTTTTAGGGTGAAGCGATGCGCGTTTCGTGGATTAAATATGTGGGAGTGGCGCATCTCCCGTGAAAAAAACAATAAAACATCTGTTTTGGGCGATTAAATCGGCACGAGAATGGCCAAGAACCTGCGAGTATCCAATTGAATTCTCGGAGTACAACACAAAGAAAACATTCGAGGACTTCATCGGGTTGATGAGGATTGTGCATACATAATCCGCATTACACTTTTTGATTTACACTCTCTTCTTGTCCCTCTCGACAGGGTCCCAAGGACATGTCTCTACCGCACACGCACCTCGAAATCTGTGTTGAATAGCAAACACGCAGGGCAAGAACAATGAAAAATGCTAATTACTAGCGGGGGGACGGCGTTTGGAAGTGTCGAGTGGCTGCCAACGCAGTCATAGTACTTATCGAAGTGAAAGGAGACGGTATTATTGGAAATATGACACAAATACTTGTATTGATATCCGCCTCATTGGATTTGACAGGTTGAGGGTTAGGTGGTATGTCAAAGTGCGATCGTACATAGGAATTGGCTAAAATTTTCACTTGTGAAATGAAAATTGGAAATTTTTCAGGCGACTTTCTCAACACTGAACTCGATTTCTTGTACCAACGATCTCGTCAGCTTGCGACTAACCTCCCAATCGGTGAAACACGTCTACAAGGATTCAGAATCACCGCAGATGAGCTAGCTGGACTTCCAGTCTCTCCAAACCTTCTTCCAGTCCTGATGCATTTGAAGCTGTTCGGAATCCCATTGGAGTTCTTCAACCTCTTGCTCGCCCTCATTGCTTTTGCCATCGCATATCCATCAGTGTTCTGGAGAGTTTCAAAACCGTTCAGTCTGCTTTTCTCCCTTCACCTGGTCATCTACGCCGCACAAATCATCTGGGGGTACATCTCATTCTCAGTTCTCTTCCGAATCCAAGAGACCAATGTGTACAGCGTCAGACCTGTGGGACTAGGACAGTACCTCAGCCCAATCAAGCCGATGGGATTGAACATCTACCATCCATACGTAATTTTGGGTTCTTTCATAGTGCGCTTGGTGATGACAACTTTGGCTCCAATGGCAATGTATTCCTATGGATATAACAAATACCACGTGAGTTATTTACTTCCATTTCTGCTGTTTCAAAATCAATTTTCAGGCTAACGTGCTGAATGTGCAACACCGGAATGCTGCTAGAACCTCACAGGGACAAGCAGAATATGGAGATTATAGAAGACGATCAATGAACCGGTATGAAGGAAGCAAACTGTGCTGTGATGGATATCTTCCACATATGGATGCTATTGCTCTTTTGGTTATTGTTGCTGCTGCAATTGGACCGACGATCTACGCTCTTTTGATACTGTATCAGCATGAACAGAAAGCGTTGATTCTTACATGCATTATTGTCGACGTGATTTACATGTTCTCATGGATTCTGATGTGGCTCGCCATGACACTGAAACGCGACTGGAATTTCAATGTGACCCATAAAGTTCATCAGTTCTATGGACTTAATGTAAGTGGTTTTTTTACTATTATTAGGACTAGATTTTGATGAACCTGTATTCCAGAAGGGAATGACTATTGGACCAATTCGTGGAAACGAGAATCCTTCACAAATGAAAACTTCTATTCTTGTCATGCATCGTGATACAATGTACGTGACTGATGACCAAACTGCAAAAGAATCTCTTCTTCGTGCTTGTCACACCGGAAAATTTGAGACTGTGAGCCCACCAGAAGATGTGTACTGGAAACAAGGGCAGCAGAGCCCAGCAACACGAGCTAAGATTCTCACTGAAGTTGATGGTGTTAAAAATAGTCCCGAAATGTCAAGATTGCTGAGAATGGGAACTGATGATACTCAACAGACAATGAGTTATCACTCGGTAAGTGAAATTCTTTTAAAATCCTCTTTCAGATTTCGAAAACCTGCAATTTTTCTAGAATGGTGGCCGTAACATCACGCAAGCTCAAATGAGCAACTCTCAAATATTGCAACGTGGCAACAGTTCTCCACCGGGACCAAGCCAATTTGGAACCATCCAACGTAGCCAACAGCAATACGGACAAATGGGTACACTACAACGCGGACAGAGTGGCGGTACTCTTCAAAGAGGCGCCATGGTTCATGACAATGTCTGGAATCAGTACTCGGCGATTCAAAAGAAAGAAGAACAACAGCAGCAGCACATGCTTGGGCAGAGGCGTGATAGTGGTGAAGCGGCATACGGAAGAGTCGATAGTACATACGGAAGTTACGCAAGAATTCCAAATGTGGTGAGTTTCGCCGCTAGAGGGAACCGGAAAAATGTTATGAAATATTGAAAAGGAATTGTCATCAGCTGACTGGAAAAAGGATATGATGATTAGGAATTCTATGGAATTCGTATTTTGATGTTGGAGCTCTGGGGACGGAACTAAGGAAACTTTTAAAAATTAGAAGACCGCGGACTATGAGAAGTTAAAAAAATGGACGATAATCAATGGTCACATATATCAACAATCAAAATTTATAATTTCAAAAAATAAGTATATTCCAGTCTTGCATCCAAGTAACCCCCAAGGCAGCCAAATTTTATGGAATAAGAAATTTGATGTTATAGCTTAGGGGATGAAACTAAGGAAAATTTTTAAATATAGAAAACCTGGGACCATGTTAATCTACCAAAATGTCAGCATATTTGAGCCTCATACTGTGAACCCTGTAACAGAAGAGCTCTTTCACTGGCAAATTTATGCTCAATTATCCCAATTCCTATGCAAGACATCAAAAGTGTGTCAACTAACAAAACACTTTTAATATTATGATAAACAATTTATCAGTTGACAACTTTTCTATATCTACGATAGAAACATAAAAAAATCATACTTGAAAGTTAGAGGCTCTTCTAGGTTTCATGACATTTCAATGATCAAACTGAAAAATGTCGAAAAATAACACGAATTTCCAGTCTCGCATCCAAGTGACTCCACAAGGCAGCCAAATCCGTGTAAATGGCTATGGCGGCCTTCAACAAAACACTTTATCTCGTCGTGACGTCACTCCACCGGTACACTCACAACAACCATCATTGAGCTCCATTCGCCAATCACCAATGCTCTCTGATCGGTCAGGAGTCAATGTCCCACCACCACAACCGCTTGTCAGCAGGTATCAAACTTTACACAATTTCAAAATAGTTCGTGATGTTCTGATACCTTTTAGGGAACAATCACCTTATCAACGGTCTGCTATCAAATTGTCATCGTTTTCGGAGAATAAGGGAAGTGGTATATATGGCACCAGTGGTATTGGATCAGGAAACAATGTGCAATGGGGAGGCACTCAAAGAGTCGCTCCAGGGCAACCAGGACAACTTTTGTGGAACACTCCAGGAAGCGTGAATGGAAACAAGGTTCTTTTGATTATTTGATTACTTTTTTATCACACATTTCTTGCACGAGTGACATTTTCCAACCATTTTTTGGCACTATTCCATTTTTCTAACCACCAACCTCTCTTTGCAGTCATCGCTAACCAGCACCACAACCTCGTCGCAAAACGATGAACAATGCTTTACCCCAACTTCCACACTAACAAGTCACGGAAGTAACTACACACCAACTCCCGGATCACCACAAGGATCCAATCCGATCTACTCTCGGATCAATGGAGCCTCGTCAACGTCTTCCAATCTCTATGGAGTTGCCTCGAAGGAAAGCCAGTATGCGGATAGAACTCTATCAAAGGCTCCAATCAAGTCGACAACAGTGACGACTGGAAACACAATCCTTCGCGCTGTTAATGGTACAGACGACACTGTTTCGAGTTTCTCTCGTCCACCCACTGGTGCACTTAACCAAAACGACTTTGCTACCAGCATTGTGTGAATAATTCCTCTTCTTCTCCGTCTTGTTCTGGTAGGTTTTTTTTTCTGATAAAACCATTTCTCAATTTCAAAAAAATTTGAGTCACGTTTGTCACATCCGTTTCTTTTAGGCATGTCACACTGCCTACAAAGTAAAATAATCAAAAATTTCAGGACCCCTACTGATCCCGATGAACTCTCTTCTACCCATCTAACAACCAAACCAATTCAACTCTGTGACCAAATTCTCGCCAATTTCCCCCCCCCCCCAAAAGTATAACCATTTAATGCACATCAAGTCACTTATACCCTCGAAACATTCAAAAATCCTACTATGGTCACCGTTATGATTTGCACCATGTTTTTACTAAAAGCGGTTAATCTTGCCAAGCCGTAAAAATACGTAAACCTTTTCTTCTTGATTTTCGACCTTCTTTACGTACGTAATAAATGTCTCCCGCATTTTAATGTATAAACTGATAATCGAAATTCCTGTCCATCCTTCTCTTTTCTCTCTCTCTCTCTCTCCCTTTTTAATTGTATTTTCATGTCACCCCATACTTAAAAATCAACACAAAGACTCTTTTTTGTTACTGTACTTTATTCCCGTTGGATATCGGGTACTCTCCTTGGACACCATTCTCTCCAATTTTTTTTCCATGTTTTGTCATACCGTTTGGCTAGATTCTTGGATTCAAATTGTTGCTATGATTACTCATACCCTTTTGTTGATCCTTGAAATTTATCGAATAAAGACCAAAAATATAAATAAAACCATCCGTGTGTACATTAACATTGTTATGTTATAAAAAAACTTTGGAAATTCCGGATTATCGAGAGGTTATCAGTAGGTTTTATCAAAAATGGGCGGAGCGAAATCATGCGATTCAGAAATGTCTTTTTATTAAAGCACGTACTATTTCCTTGTTAGAACTTGATATAAAAAGCTGGGCTGGAATGACAAAGTTTCATTGATAAGACTTTTCATTCAATTCATTGTCTGGTCATATCATTATTTCAGGACTACACGTTTTTTCACGTATCGAATAAAAACTTTGTACTCTTCTAGGCTTTTTACAATTTGACTAAATTACAGAATGAAGACCCTCTTCTGTCTTTTCGCTCTTGTAGCTGTTGCTTCTTCCTTCGTCGCCTTCGCCGCCCCAAAGCAAGAAGGAACCTTGAACTGCCTCATGTGCGAGGTTGGAGTCCGTGCCGCTGAAAACCCAGCCGACAGAGAGGCCCACGTTGTTGAGGACGTAAGTTTCAGTGGTCGAGAATCATTTTTGTCTAGCTGAGAAAATAATCTTACAGAAGTTCGACGCTGAGTGCAAGAAGGAGCTCGGAGCCATCCCATTCGCTGCTAAGGAATGCGAGAAGTACGGAAACTCCAAGCTTGACCCCATCATCCACGAGCTCGAGAGCGGAACTGCCCCAGAAGACGTCTGCACCAAGCTCAAGGAGTGCCCAAAACAATAATTTTATCTACCTCTTTCAATTTTCGTCAATAAATTTTTCTAAGTGATAGACCTTCACGAATCTTGGAGCTTTCTAGAAAAACTGTAAAAGTTTCTTTCTAGTTATTAAAACGACCAAAAGTCGCAAGAGTTGTTATAGCTTTCAAGCATTTTGAAATTTTACGAGTCGGACGGTCAGGACTGATAAGAGTATGGGTGTCGGCGGAAAATTCTAGTCCGTGACAGACGTGATGAAATAGTAGTCAACATTTGGCTACATACCCAAAAAACGGCAGATCATGTAACTGAACTTGTGACAAATGATAGTAGCACAAATATTATTGTTAAGGACAAAACGTTGGAGGTGGAGGGACATGAAAAAAATACTGTTGGAAGTGTGTACTGGGTGAAATACGGAAAACTTTAAAAAATTACCAGAAAAATTTGTCTCCGCTTTTTTAAATGATAATTGCTATTTCAAAACGGAGAAATCAAGTAAATAAGCACTAGTATACTATTTGATGTTTTCTGGAAGTAGGATGCTGGTTGGCTTTTGATTATAGATCAGTATCAAGAAATAATACATAGAAACGTCTTTAATTGTTGTGAAAATTCACAATATTCATACACTGCTGGACATAATTATAAAGCCACTTTTATTTTCGAGTTTTTTCAAAAACTGGGAAAATTGATTGAACAGCATATGGTTGTCATAAATACTATTTTGAAATGTCAATTAATGAATATCATTTGATACCGTTATCGTTTCTTTATTTTGGAAATTTCGAAAAAATCGAAAATATGACACAAAAAAAAGTGGACATAATTATAAAGCCACTTGAAACAATCCAATATAACTTTAGATCAAGGTATTAAAATGTGAGGAAACTACAAAATATAACAAATACAACTCAATATAGGTAGTCTTATTAACATGAGAAACTTAGTTGTATCTATACTCATAATTTTGTCTCATCCGTTTTTGGCCAACTTACACTGAAAGTGACGTTTTTCGTTAATAGCTGTTCTGAAAATCATGAGGACTTTAATTTTTTGAGTGTTTTAGTATTATTCTCAAATGAATCACTTATTTAACTATCGAAAACATCATGATTTTTTCACCAACCGAAACAAAAACAACCATATGCTGTTCAATCAATTTTCCCAGTTTTTGAAAAAACTCGAAAATAAAAGTGGCTTTATAATTATGTCCAGCAGTGTAATAAAGAACACATTTGTTCAAGAAAACCTCAATTCAACTGTTTCACTAAAGTTTTAAGGAATGATTCCCGTATAACAATTACATTATCCCAAAATTTGAAAAATATGAAACCAATAGACTAACTTTTTTTTCAGTTTCAAGCTGCACTCTCTTGAAGATATGATCATTTTTTTCCAAAATAGAGTACTTGTAACAAAGAGCTTTCTCAGAAGCATTTTGTGAAACTGAATACAATAAAATCAAATAAGATTGAAGTATGTTTCAGAGAAATGTCGAATTAGATGATTAAACTTCAGAACCAACGTCAATCTGTCACCTGGAAACATTATCAGTGCGCTAAATTCTACATTTCGCTCTCCAAAAATCGAGAAATGTCAATTGCACTTTGTATAAAAGGGATGCCTTGACAGCAGTATATTCACTATTCAGTCATGAGGTCGATCATCTTCGCCTCACTTCTGGCCTTGGCCTTTGCCACCACCCCAGCTTTCGAGCGTCTCTTCGAACCAAAAACCGACTACCATTACAAGTTTGATGGTCTTGTGCTTTCTGGACTTCCAATCTCTTCTACCGAGCAATCTCAAACTCGCATCTCTGCCCGTGCCCGTATCCAATCCAATGACCGTGACATTCTTCTCCAACTTGTGGACATCCAATTGGCTGCCTCTCACCTCTCAGATTCTGAGCTGATGCCAGTGATGAACTCCTTGGAACAACGCGAGCTGTCCAACGTGTACAAGAAGATTCTCGAGCTCCCAGTTCGTGCACAACTCAAAAATGGACTTATTTTTGAGCTTCAATTCGAGGAAGAAGACACCGAGTGGTCTGAGAACATGAAGAGAGCTATTCTCAACATGATTTCATTCAACCCAATCGCTCCAAGAGACGAGAAATTGGAATCTGATGAAGACAAGGAATGGACCGAGGATAACACCGCTTTCTTCACTAACGAGAAAACTCTGGAAGGAAATTGCCAAGTTGCTTATTCTGTTGTTCGTGAGCAGAAGAAGACTATTGTCACCAAATCTGTCAACTTCGACAAGTGCACTGAGCGTTCCGAAACCGCCTATGGACTTCGTTACACCTCCGAGTGCCCAGAATGCGACAACCAAACCGAAGTGATCCGTCCACAAACTGTCTACACCTATGTTTTAGAAAACAACGAGCTCAAGCAATCCGAAGTCCGTTCTCTCTACACCATCAATGTTAACGGGCAAGAAGTGATGAAGACCGAGACTCGCTCCAAGCTTGTTTATGAGGAGAGCCACTCGATCAAGAACCACATCAAGAAGGTAAGCTCCTTCAAAAAGTCTTCATGAAATCGAAATATATATTGCAGGTCAACGGAGAGAAGGAAGACATCATCTACTCTTCTCGTTGGGAACAACTTGTTGAGGATTTCTACAAGAACGGAGACAAGTCCAATGCTCAACCATTCGCTGTTTTCCCACTCGAGAAGAAAATTCAACTCGTCAAGTCTATGATTGATAGAATCCAAGAGGAAGAACAAAACGTGCCAGAGACTGCTCACTTCTTTGCTAGAATTGTCCGTATCTTCCGTACTTGCTCTGTCTCTCAACTTGAAAAGATTCACGACTCCCTTTACATTAAAGCCGACAAGAAGGTATTTCAGCTGTAATGTCATGTACTGAACCCAGTTTTTAGATCCAATCTCTTCTTGACAACGTTCTTGCTGTATCCGGAACCAAGAACACCATCGACCACTTGCTCACTCACGCTGAAATCGATGAAGTGTCTCCAATCAATGTCGCCAAGCTCCTGAAGACTATTCAAGAGACTCCATTCCCATCGGAGGCTATTGCGGAGACTCTTATCAAGTTTGCTCAATCCCGCCCTACCAAGAACAACCAGGTTATTCGTCAATCTGCCTGGCTTGCCTCTGGATCCGTCGTCCGTGGAATCGTTGACATCAGAAGCGTTCGCCCATTCCTCCGTGAGGACAAACGTGAAATCAAGCAGAAGTTCCTACGCACCTTCATGAAGCAATTCGAAAATTCTGAGACCACCTACGAGAAGATTCTTGCCCTCAAAACTATTGGAAACGCTGGACTTGATATCTCCGTCAATGAGCTCAACGACATCATCGTTGACAAACGCCAACCACTCCCAGTCCGCAAGGAGGGTATTGATGCCCTCAGACTTCTCAAGGACTCCATGCCACGCAAGATCCAAAAGGTCCTCCTCCCAATCTACAAAAACCGTCAATACGAGCCAGAAATCCGCATGCTTGCTCTTTGGAGAATGATGCAAACCCGCCCAGAAGAGCCACTCCTCGTCCAAGTTTTCTCTCAAATGGAGAAAGAGTCAAACCAACAAGTTGCCGCTCTTACTTACCAAATGATCCGCCAATTCTCTCAATCCACCAACCCATGCTACACACGTGTTGCTAAGGATTGTTCCAAGATTCTCTCTTTCACTCGCTTCCAGCCACAACAATCTGCTTTCACTTCCACTTACTCACTTCCACTCTTCTCTCAAGAAGCCTTTTCCGGAGCTCAATTCGACTTCGCCGCCATCTTCGAAAAGAACTCTTTCTTGCCAAAGGATCTTCATGCTACTCTTGGTACTGTCCTTGGAGGAAACTGGAACGAGTACTTCGCTCAAGTTGGATTCTCCCAAGAGAATATGGACCAATACATCTTCAAGACCCTCCAAAAGCTCGAGTCTCTTGAGAAGAAGTCTACCACTGTTGTCCGTGGACGCCGCATTCAAGCCGGTATCAGAATGCTCAAAGAGCTCGCTCAGAAGATGAACATCCGTGCCCGTCCATCCACCCTCAACGAGAAGGATGCTTTTGCTATGGTCTATTTGAGATACAAATCCATGGATTACGCAGTTCTTCCAGTTGATTCTCAGCTTATTGAAGACCTTGTTGAGAGATTCGTCGGCAACGGAAAGCTTCACTTCTCCGAAATCCGTCGCCTGTTCAATCAAGATCACAAGTTTGAAGCACACCATTCCGCTTTCTTCTATGAGGTTATCCGCAAATTCCCAACCACTTTCGGACTTCCACTCGTGATCTCCGGAAAGATTCCAACTTTCATGTCTGTTGAAGGACAATTCTCTCTTGACCTTGAAGGAACTGAACTCCGCATGACCGCTGAGGCCCGCCCATCGGTTGCTGCTACCCACGTATACGAGATGAGAATGTTCACTCCACTCTTCGAACAAGGAGTCAAGACTCTCCAATCACTCCGCGCCTACACTCCAATCAAGTTCCAAGTCGACGCTGATCTGAAGAAGAACTTCGACCTTGTCTACAAAGTCATCGTTCCAGAGAACGAGAAATCGATTGTCACCATCTCTACTCGTCCAATCATTTTCCTTCAACACCCAGGATTTGCCAAGTTCAATAATGTTGACTCCGAGGAAAGAACTGTCTCTATTCCACAATGGCAACAAAAGACTCAAGAGATTGAGAGAACCGAGAACTTCCTTGGACTCGAAGTTTCCACCAGTGGAAATATTCTCCGCCAACACTCCGTCGAGAATTGGCTTGTTGCTGAGCAAGACTTTGAGGTCACCTTTGAGAACAAGAACCGCCCAGCTGAATTCGTCTTCCGCATGACTGTCTCCCCACTCGAGAAGACTCCACTCTCCGAGATCAAGATCAATAACGATATCTTCGAGAAGGAGTTCGAGCTTGAGCAAGAGACATCCGAGAACCGCCGTGAGTCTTTCTCCAAGATGGTCAAGAACATCCAAAAGGAGCAAGGATACAAGAGCTTTATCACCCTCAAGTTCGAGGCCCCACGTGACTACCAAATGAGATCCGAGCTTACCACTGTCTGCGACAAGCAAGTCCGCATGTGCCAATGGACCGTTGAGGTCAACCGCTCCCCAATCTTCGCTGAGGAGAAGAAGGACTGGACCCTCCGCTCCCAACTTCTTGCCATCCGCCCAGTAATGCCGTCTTCCCTCCGTCAACTCCGTGAGCAACCACACCGTGAGGTTCAACTCTCTCTTACCTCCACCTGGGGATCTCAAAAGAAGAACGAACTGAACATCAATACCCAACTCCAACAATCCAAGGAACAGAAGAAATACGAACGCCAAATGGAGCGTGAGGTCAGAGGAATCCCAGAGTACGAGCTCTTGATCAAGGCTGCCCGTCTCAACCAAGTCAACATGGTTGCCGAGTACAAGCTCACCAAGGAAAACGATGAGACCATGAGCCGCCTTTTCAACCTCGTCAAGGCCTACAACTACTGGACCGTCTCGAGCCGCCCAGAGGACAACGAGAAAAACCGCGTCGTCCTTCAACTCACCGTCGAGCCAATTTCCCGTCAATACGTTAACGTCACCGTTCAAACCCCAGAAGGACGTGTCGAGATGAAGAACACCCAAATCCCACGTGTCCACCTTCCATCCATCGCTCAACGTGCTACAAAGTACCAATACACCGAGTCTTCCGGAGCTGTGTGCAAGGTCCAAAAAAACCAAATCCGCACGTTCGATGATGTTCTCTACAAGACCCCACTTACCACATGCTACTCCCTCATTGCCAAAGACTGCTCTGAGGAGCCAACTTTTGCCATTCTCTCCAAGAAGGTCGAGAAGAACTCCGAGGAGATGATGCTCAAGGTTCTCCGTGGAGAACAAGAGATTGTTGCTCAAATCCAAAACGAGGAAATCCGCGTCAAGGTTGACGGAAAGAAGATTCAATCTGAAGACTTTGCTGACTACCAAATCGAAACACTCGGAGAGTCCGCCATCGTTATTGAGCTCCCAGAAGGAGAGGTTCGCTTCGACGGATACACCATCAAGACCCAACTTCCATCCTACAGCCGCCAACAACAACTTTGCGGACTTTGTGGAAACAACGACGACGAGGTAAGCAAGAAAAAAACTAAATTTGTCTTCTAATTTACAATTTACAGTCCACCAACGAGTTCATGACCGCTGACAACATCGAGACCGAAGACATGGAAGAGTTCCACCGCTCTTATCTTCTCAAGAACAATGAGTGTGAGACCGAGGAGGAGCGTCTTACCGAGAAGAAGAACTACAAAAAGTACGAGAGAGACGAGGACGAGTCCGATGAGTCCTATGAGAACAACGAGGAGCCAGAATACACCAAGAAGTACAACAAGAAATCCGAGATGAAGAACCGTGAGTTTGCACATTGTCTCTTGAATCACAGGATGTGCATTTAAATTGCAGAACTTGTCGAGAAGACTCAAATCAAGGAGCAATCCCACCGTATCTGCTTCTCCATGGAACCAGTTGCCGAATGCAGACGTGGATTCGAGCCAGAGAACAGATTGACCAAGAAGATCCGTTTCACATGTATGCCACGTCACAGCATCAACGCCAGACGTCTGATGAAGGAAGTTCGCCAAGAGCCACTCCAACTTGATGACTACACTACTTCCTTCGTTGAATCTGTGAAGGTCCCTACTGCCTGCGTCGCTTACAAAACAAGCTCGACCGGCGTTTTTGTATAATTGGTTCTATTCCAGTAGTCTTTCTCACATTGTAGTTTGAAAATGTGAAATAAAATTTTCTTCAGTAAATTTTTGGTTTTGCAAATGTGAACATGAAAAAGAGAAGCTAAAAAAGGATTTAAATGGATAATTTGCCTGAAAGCAGTTTTACAACTTTCGAGAATTTCCGATTAGTACGAGTTTTTTTTTCGATTGATTATCACATAAAACGTGTTTGGCAATCACTCAAACTACTTTTTTTATATTGGTACTGTATTCTTTTGCTTTCTCATTACAAGTTTCCTGATTTCTCGTTTCCAAAGATTCAACAGTTTTTATTATAGATCGTTATCGTTCGATTGAAAACTGAGAAAAAGGACAGACATCATCTTTGTTGATTTGATGACTTGATAAAACTTCTTTTCTATCTCTCGTTCGACGTCTGTGAATTTTTTTTCCGCGAACGAGAATGATTGAATAGGTCAATATCTATTTTTTGTTTCAAAAATGATTTATTACAATGGAAATTGAGAAAGAGAATACGGTTTTTTTCTCACGATTAATTTCTATCATCAGTTTTGATATCCATAGTTGTAGTTTTCGTGTTGAGAATAATTTTGATTCCAAGTTGGATGGACGGAATGTTGCCTATTGTCAAATATGTGTTCAGTATGATACTGATAGCCATAGTTTGGTTGGAATTGATTCTGATTCGGAATTGGTGGTGGTGGTGTCTGATGATGTTGGTATACTTGAGCCCCCTGAGGCTGTTGATATGGCATCTGTGATTCATGGTGTGGGACAGGACAGTTCTGATGTTCCTGATGATGATACGGTGCTTGAAACGGTTCATAATAGGGTGGAGGAGGATGTTGTTGATGTGCTGGAGGTTGAGCCTCCAAATCCTGGTAACCAACTGCTTCCTGCTGTTGGTACAGTGATGTGGGGTTTTGGTAATGTTGTAGCGGTGGAGCTTCCGGTTGTTGATACGGTTGGACTGAAGGCTGATACGGTTGAGATTGACCTCCATGATATTCTAGCGGTGGTGGTAAAGAATACCAATCAAAAGAATTATCAATCACTGGTGGAATATCAGTTGGATTGTTGATATTGTTGAAATTTGGAGCATGAGGACCATTTCTAGGGTTAGTAGGTGCTTCGATGTGATTATTGGCTTCGGTTCGCACTGACTTCTTAGCAGGTGTTTTCCTCGACCGACTTTTTTTCATTGGTGGCTCACTAGACAAATCTGCTTCAAGTACTGCAGGCATTATTATAGGTGGTTGAACAGGCGCAGTTGGCTTCGTGTACACAAAACATTTTCTAAAAATTGAAAAAATTAACCATTGTGACATTAATCTAGAATAACATACGAGCAGAGGGTGATTGAAGAAATCGCAAAATCAACAAAAACTTCTTGGCACTTGGCACAACGTAGATGCCGCTTTCTCATATCCTTTGGCTCTTTCTTTTGAGTGAGAATTTTGGATATACTTAAAAATTCAATACTAACAAGCTGAAATATTTCAAATAACCTACTCCAACTTTTCATCGTATGTCCATTGGAACTCGTCTTTATATTTATTGTAGCAGAATCTGCAAATGAAAATTTACATAATTCTATTTACAAATAGATGTGAAATGTCTCACGTGCAAACTGGTCCACGATCGCTTTCTTTGTACTTCGTTGTCATTTTACATTTGCACATAGGACAATCGTATAATGGGTCAGCTCTGAAAGAAAATTTTTTTTTAAATATAGGTATTGTTGGAAACGTACGTTCCATTTGAGACCCTCTCTGCTTTTCGAGCTTCATTTTCTTCGTAACATCGACTGAAAAAAAATTAATTTCGATACTAATTCTAAATAATTATTTCTTACATGCACAAATCGCCTCTCCTGTTGTAATTATTCACTAAACATTTCTTACAAAGAGGATAAAGTGTGGGATCTCTAGGCATGTGAACACTGAATTTTTTTCCTCTTGTGGGTTTCTTACTCATTTTTTGTGGGTTTTGATTCTATATTAAAAAAGTTCAATTCAACGAACTTGGACAAGTCTGAAACAAAAGACTAATGTAATGTTTCAAGACAAAAGAAAAAAACTCAACAGATTTAAACAGACGATAATGCAATCTGGATGTCATTGAAGTCGACCGAGATAATAAAGTGGGCGGACGGAAAGAAGACTGGGTTCACTTTTTATGAAGAATGGCGTTCAATCAACTATCGATAAAGGACGCCGCGACGACTTTTTTCTTCTGTGTCATACAATCAAAATGATAAATGATACTGAATGAAACGTCTTAATCTTGAAGATGGATTGAATGTTTCTCGGACTACTTCCTTGTCAGTCGGGGAGAAAATCATGCATTGTAAAATAAAGTGATTTGTAAAAATCATATATTATTCAACTCTAGAAAATTTTCAACTCTAGAAAATTTAAATTTTAGAAAGACAAGTAGATACTCTTAAAAGCATCTATGGAAAAACGTCTGTCGATCTCGTTCAATAAGCAACGCAGGCAGATAGGATATTCACAGCTGTCGACGAAATTGCTACTTGATATAAGTCTTCTCGACGAATTCTGAAAATTTGATTTCACAGTTATACTAAAACATAGGTGAGAAACTTACAAAGCTTATCTCGGATTTCTAAGTTCCAGTTCACACTGGCTCTTTATCACAAGTTTCATCAGAATAAGTTAGGATTTTGTCCGTCTCTCTCTCTCTCTCTCTCTCTCTCTATCTCTCTCTCTCTCTCTCTCTCTCT